CAGATGACCCCAGCCAGATGCCTATTCAGCCTTCTCTTAAAGACCCCCAAGGTAGGGGAGAGCACCCCCTCCCTTGGAAGCCCATTCCAAATTTTGGACACCTTTACCATGAGGAAGGTTTTCCTGATATGCAGCTTAATTCTGCTCTCTGTCAGTTTGTGACCATTGTTCCTCATTACCCCAAGAGGCGCTCTGGTGAACAAAGCATCTCCAATCCCTTGCTGCGTCCCCATAATGAATTTGTAGGCGGCCATAAAATCACCCCTCAGCCTTCTCTTGCGGAGGCTAAAGAGGTCCAGGTCCCTCAGTCTCCCCTCATAGGGCTTGTCCTGTAAGTCCCTAACTATATGAGTGGCCCTCTTCTGGACCCTCTCGTGTATATCAACATCCTTCTTGAAGTACAGTGCCCAAAACTGGACACAGTACTCCAACTGTGGTCTGACCAATGCTGCATAGAGGGGAAGTATCACCTCCTTGGATCTATTTGTCATGCATCTACTGATGCATGCTAAAATGCGGTTAGGCCCCTGAAAGCGGTTTACAGCCATGACTTAACACAAGTGTACAGCTGTAGAGCACTTTTAAAGAACATTACATGAGGGTTCAGATGAAGGCACTCAAAGCGGAGTGCTTTCATTAACTTCTGTCTGTGCATGCCAGCAGCAGGGTTGGGTCAATGCTGCCCAGATCTGCCCCCAGTGCTGTTTTCAGAACTGGGACGGGAGGGATTGGAGGGAGTTCCTGGCCTACGCAGGTGGCGGGGCAAGCTTGCATTCCCCCCCACTCCCCCCACACTTGGCCATGTGCCACCCCTCCCCCACTGCTTGGTAGCCAAGGGTACACTGCTGTGCTTCCAGTCGCCTGGGGGGTACAATGATCGAAAAAGGTTGAAAACCCCTAGTCTAACTCATGGTGTTTTCCGTGAAGCACAATGAGCTAGATGCCTAAACTGTTGCAAAATACAGGACTTCAAATTTAACACTTCATTTAACAAGGGTTAATGTAAAGCACTGTACTCATTTTTAAAGTGCTGTAAAACTGTACACTTCTGTTAAGTCACAACAATAAAGCACTTTAAATGGCAAAAAAAAGCAACTTCTGTACACACCCAAGGTTTGGAGCTGCATGCCACCTTCTCTAACATTTGTGAGAGGGCTTTTCAGCTTCAGAAGTTGCAGTCTGACTGGTTTCCCAGCAGCCCAGACAGAATTTGAATATTGATATTGATCCAATGAGAGTCACTTCCTCCTATTATATGGTGACTGTTAATAATAAATCTCTCCAAGCATTTTGCCAGTGGCAGTTCTCAGCAAAGCCTTGGACAGATGCCTTGGGGGGCAGCCTTTGCTTTAGTTGTTTTAAAATCCTACTCAGAAACACAATGGAAAGGTTTGGGGTTTTTTTTCTGCCCCTGGGAGCTAGAGCAGGAAGCCTGTGTGCCTGCTGGTGACACTGACTCACCAGCTGAAGCCCAGGGGCTCCGGTTACTGCATAGCAGCTAAACAAACCTGCTGAAGGATGCCAACAATGGGAGGATGTTTCTGTAGTTGTTTGCAGAGAGGGTGTTACCCACCGCTCCTTGCTCTGGCTCCTATGCCAAATAAACCTTCCTGATTAATCAAAGAGCCAGTGTTTTCAGAGCATGGCCACCGGCAGTACTAAATGTGCAGGGGCAGTGGCTTGGCTGCCTGGACTGTGAAGTTAAAAAGGAAGGTGACAGTATATGCACAGGGGTGTAGGTTGTAGCTGTGTCGGTCTAAGGACATAGGCAGACAAGGTTCTTTGGGTAAATCCGATATCTTTTTTTAGACCAGCTCAAATAGTTGGAATATATGCACATGCACACGCGCGCACACACACACACTGATGCATTTGTACATGGGGCCTTGGTGCAACTGACACTGTTTCTCCTATTCAAGCTAGAACAGTGCATCACAAAAAGGTGTGCCCCTTCTCTCTGCCTCTTCCCAAATAAGAAGGCGGATCTTGTAGCTGCACCTCCACCCCCCCCCCCCCCCCCCCCCCCCCTTTCCCCCAGGAGCCCTGCCTCCCAGGTACCTACTCACCAGGAGACAGAAGCACTGCCCCTGAGGCAAAACCAGGTGTTTTTTCTCTGTCCTCTGTGAGCTGGATGTGAAGAGGCCAGCCTGCCGGCTCCGTCAGGCTATTTTTTGTCCTGTGCAGACCAATGTTCAAACAAAATCTCTTTCAATTTAGTTTATTTGCTGCAAGAATTTTTTTAAAACTCAGCCAAGGGTGGGAAGCAGACTATGAGTGACTGTGGCTGGGCTGGGTGGGTCTCCAGTCTGAAAGCAAGGGCTGTCCGAGTCAGCCAGCAGGGGAGAACGTAATCCACTTTGGTGAAAAACTCTCCCTAACAGAGACGAATCCTTCCCCACACCCTTTTTCTCAGCCTGGAGCAGGCTCTTGGCCTCAGCGCATGGTGGAAAGTGGCTGAAAGAAACTCCCTCCCTGACATGATACAGTCTTTTTGTTTCTTTTGCTCCCTGCAGTTTTCACACTGCTGGCAGCATAAACACAGGATTCATCAGCACTTCGCTCGCTGGGGAGAGCAGCTGAAATCTCCAAGCACAGGAGCTAACCTCGCTGTCGACTTGGGGCCATCCAGAGGTGGCAGGCTTGGTTCCTTTGGCTCCACATGTGCTTGTGTGTGTCACTGTCTGAAGCTGTGTGAGTCTCCTTCGCTGTGTGTGCCTGTACAGGCATATGTCACTCAGCCTGTTTGAGTGTGTCTGGGTATAAGTGTGGACCTCCCAGCCTCTGTGTGTGACTCCCCCATCACCTGTGTGTGTTTGTCTCTGTATCTGTATGTGTCTATGTACATGTATTGTTTATTCCTCTGTGTGTATCCATGTAAGCAAACATCTCTCTACATGTGTGTGTACACCTTGCCACTTGTGGCCATCTGATTCTCATTTGAAGTGTAGGTCTCGCTGTGCCTACGTGCATGAGTATGTTTCTCTCTGACCTTGTGTGTCTTTCTCCATGTGCCTACGCACATGCATGTCTCTCTGGCAATGTGTGCGTGTGTGGCTGTGTCTTCACAGTAAGCTAACCAGGCCTGCGAACAACCCACTGCTGCCACCTCGCACACAAGCAGTGACATTGTTGAGTCTCTTGACATATAGGCGTAGAGGCCTAACAAAGCAGCTGGGCACCTGGGGCAGCAGGACACATGGGGGGAAGTGGCAACTTCCAGGTGCCACCATGCTGCTGGCATAATTGTGCAGCTGTGGCAGCACCTGATGTTTTTCTGCCCTCTCTCCCACTAAAGTTAGGATCCCAGGTGGCTGCCCTGGTCACCCTACCTTAGTTGGGGTCCTGTGTGGGTGGATGTCCTTAGGCCACTCTTACAGACTGTTAGGTCCAGGGCAAGAGTGAAATGTTTTACACCATCACTTGGTGCCTAGCAATTTCTTATTGCCACAAAGAAATACTACAAAAAAAATGCACATGTTAACCACTAAAACGAAGGATTAATCAATTTGTTAAAATGTAAATGTGCAAGACCTTCAAGTGCCATTCTCCCTCGGAGCTTAAAAAAAGGAGTTCCCAGGTTTATTCTAGTACACGGGGCCCACAGCTCGTGGGAACGCTCCATTGATTGTGCTGTCCCCAGGCTGGCTGTGGGGTACCCCTGCATGTGTATCTGTCTGTGTATCCTGTCTGTCACTGAGTCTCTCTCTGCCTGACCAGGACAGTGTGTCTCATTTTGTGTCCTTCTCCCTGCCAGTGAGTATGTCTTTCACACTGTTTCCTTTACTCACTGTAAAGCAGTGAGACCTACAAGCAGAATAAAAGTACATATGTGGGCAAATCAAAACCAGGCAGGCAGAGGCTGGGTGTGCAGAGGCCAAAGCCAGGGGAACAGGGACACAGTTGTTGGAAAAGGCCCTCTGGAAAGACTGCAAAGGTGCCTGCTCAGTGCTGGCCTCATGGAAAAGATCCTGAAGATAAATGTGCTTGTTAAGATAGTGATCTCTGTATCCAAGTAACCATAAACCCAGGAGCTGGAGCATTCTAGCAGCACCCCTCATTAAGGCAAGAGGAGGGGATAGGGCCAGGGCACACAGAGCTGCCTCTCAGGGCTGACCCTTGCTCCTTACCTCAAAGGCAAATGAGGCACATGTAGCAATAACCTGCCAAACTCTGGCAAAAAAATGCCACTTGCCACCCTCCCTTTTTTCCCCACAAAAGCAGACACTTGGTGCAGCCCATTGTACCCTAGATCACACAGAAGCCAGCCTCATTCCTGCACAGGCCCATGCTGGGAACTCAGGGGAGGGAGTATGACCTATTGGTTGGAGCAGGGTGAATTTCAACATGGTGTGCCAAACTGTGGGAGGGGTGGGGAGCAGATAGGTGCTAAGGCAGCAGTAGGGCATGAGTAGGGTTACTATATTTCAAGTATCAAAAAAGGGGACACCTGTGGGGGGGAGGGAGGGCAGGAGGTGGCGGGGACAGAGCATATGATTGTGGGGGGGGGGGCAGTGACATGGGCAACTAGTGCTGCCTTAATCAGGGGGGCCACATTTCCCGCCCCCAGGGACCAGTAAGTGACTGGGGGAGGGGGGCCCGTGGCCAATCATGAGTTGACCAATCGCTGCAGCCGCTTCCAGAAGTGGCTGCGGCCACTTCTGAGAATGCCACGGCGCTCCAGCTCCCTGGCCGGCACTTGCAGGGGGGACACCGGCGCTCCCACCTGCCGCCTGTGCCTGTCGCCTAAGTGGTAAGCGCAGCGGGTGAGGGGGAGCACCGGTGCTCTCAGAAGGTCCACCTGGACTCCCGTGCACCCCCCATGCATTGCTACTGGGCAGTGATATGCCCGTGCCTTACCTCTGTCCCTCATTCCTAAGTCACAGCACCAGCAACCCTGCTGCTGCCTCTCACTCCTGAACGACTGTACCCTGCACCCCCAGCCCTGCCAGTGACCCTTACTCCCAACCCATAGCCCCTACTCCCACCAGCTCTACTGCCCACGCAGCTCACACACCCATGCACTCTCTGTCTCTGTCTCTGTCTGTCTGTCTGTCTGTCTCTCTTTCTCACTAACCTGCTGGGGCCCACACACAGAGCATGTGATCCCCCAACAGCCAAACACCTTGCCTCGCTGCCCAAGTGCCAAGCAGTGAAGCTGGAAGCGCCTGGGAAAAGCCAGAGGCAGAGCAAAAACCCAGACATTTGCTTGCATTTTAAAAGCCCACCCAGACAGGAGGACAGAGGGCCAAAAAGAGGACATAGCATGTCACTAGGGTGACCATCATAGAGGACATTCCGGTTTTCTGCTGCTCTGGCCTCTATTGATACAAAACCTGATGCCTTTATGTTCTCTATTTTTCTCTACAAGAAAAATTTTTTCTACAAGAGAAAAATAGAGGACATAAAGGCGTCTAGTTTTGTATCAATAGAGGACAGAGGACAACCGGACTGTCCTCTATGATGGCCACCCTACATGTCACTTACCCTGCATAAATTGGGAGGAGGTATAATGCTGGTTTTCCGCTTCACATAAGAGTTGAGATATTTCATGCACTGGTGCCTGTAAAGTGCTCTGAGATTTTCAGAGGGAAAGTACTACAGATAAGCAAAAAGGAAAAAATAATATTGTCCAGCCAGCTTTGCCATATATGGGCTAAAATTGCCTTAGGCCTTAGAGCTCAGGACAGAAGTTACACATAAACCGGTTTAAGTGATCAGAAACTGGTTTAAACCGTAAAAGAACAGAAGTTCAGTGCACATAAACCAGTTCAAAATGGCTGAAACCAGTTTGAGATAAACCTTAACTGATTGAGCTCAAACCAGTTTATGGAACTTCTGTCCCAGACCCCTTCCTGGTTTAAGTTAAATCAGAGTCCTCCAACATCCTAGCATGCTCTGCAGCCCTGGGCTGTCTGTTTCAGCCAAGCAGGGTTGGCCCCGCCCCTATCCTCCCTCACTGGAACACTATCACAGCTGGCTGAGAAGTGGGTGAGGCTGCAAAAACCTGCTTTGGAGTGCAGCCAGGTCTGCCTGGCAGGGGGCAACAGCCCTTGCCCAGCATCCCCAGCACCCAAGCCCTTCTTGCTGCCCCAGCAGCAGGAGTGTGGCCAGACACTGGTAGTCTGAGGGGAGGGGGGCATTGAACTCCCCACCCCCCCCATTGCAGCTGGGGGCATGGTGTGGACACTGATAGTCTCTGCTTGTGAACCCAGGGCTGCAGCAGTCAGACAATGGTAGCTTGAGAGGAAGTGGGGCCCTGACATGCAGGTGATGGCTCCATCCCATGCTGAAGATCCCCTCAGGCAGGGCCTGCACTGCAGCGCCTGGGTGGAATCCCCCAGAGGAGTGATGAGCAGTGCCTGAGGCCGATGCGAGTCTAGCTGTGGGAAGGGGGCTAGGGTGGGGGGAAGAGACCTGGCTGCAGGTGCAGAGAGGGGTGGGGTGGTCAGTGCCCACCGCCTCGCACCTCCAGCTCTGCACAGGGGCTGTGGCCTGCAGGCAGACTGCAGCTGGAGCGCAGCTTCCCACCCCGCTTTCCACCCCCCCTGGTGGCAGAGAGAACCAACGTGTTGGGTAAAAGTGAGACAGCTGTCACCCACCGTCTGCTTGTGGTGGCACTGGGCACTTGGGGTGGGCTGCCACAGGCTAATCGTTGTCCATGCCCCTGGGCTACAGGGCTAGGCTGGACTGGTCTGCAGTGGTCCATTGCCTTCTCCCACTGCTGCTCCTTGCCCCTTGCCTGTGGTGGTCCACCCCAAGAGTCCAGCAATGCTGCAAGAAGATGCCTCACCTTCACCTGCCATGATGGTTCACTCTGCCACTGCTGCTGGAAGGGGGAGGGAGGCAGGGAGCCATGATTAGCCCCAGCTCCCCCCCAGCCCTCTCCATGACTGCAGCCAGGTCTCATCCCCCTTCCCCTGCCCTGTTCCTCTGGCTGAACCCACTTTGGACTCAGGTGCCACTCGATGCTCCTCCAGGGGACTTGGCCCAGATGCTGTGGCATGGGCCCAGCTTGAAGGGATCTTTACAATGGGATGGAGCCAGCACCATGTTGGTGCCTGCACTGCTGCAACCTACAATTGGAGGATTAAATCCCACCCCTTCCCCTTAGGCTACCAGTGTCCGGCCATCATGGCCCCAGGTGCATAATCAGAACCTATAGGTGCCCGTGCCACA